AACCAGTTACATATTTGTGTAGTTGTGTTTTTGTTTTTTTTTGTGTCTAAAAAATTTGAGCAGACTAAATGAACATGTCTTGCCGAATTATTGTTCCGAAAATATGCTGTGAAATTTAAATACTTTTTTTTGGGGGGGGGATCGGGGGCTCGGGGGCTCGGGGAGGGGGGGGGGGCATTGGAAAGAGAAAGATTTAAAAACATACAGTATTGAGGTAATTAAATTCAATGTTAGATCCGATGACTTAAATCAAGAATGTAATATTGCAACTATGGTAACCATTGGGTAGGTGTTAAAGCACAAAAGCGTTAACAAATAAATAACAAAGTAAAGAAAATGTTCAGATTTACTATCCAACCAGAAGAGATATTACACCATGCACCATTCTAGATTGGCAAATCTTTGTACTGAGTGAACGTACCGGATGTTCAATGTACAGTGTCTCTTGCTTTTATAAAATGGGTGACGAACAGTAAATTACAATCCTTGGCTAGTTCGGGGGTAAATAAGCTAAACACAAGATACATTGAAAGACATTGTTTTATCGCTGTTTTAAATTATTTAAAGTTAAAGCGGTGTAGGAAATGAAAACAACAACTAATGCCTGGATGACAGAGGATTGAAGGAAACGTAATGAACACCTATGAAGGGAGACTAAAATATAAAAAAATACAGCAAAGCGGAAAACTAAAACTAAAACCTTTTTGAACACATGTAGGATAGAGACTACACAGGACGTATTCATGAATTTTAAAAATGATACATCGATAAAGGCATTGGAGTAACCACAATGGAGAGGGGCGAACTTGAGCTATTCATCTACATTTTAGGCTTTTTTCACCCGTCCATTAGATTAAAATCACAGGTCTCTTGGGTCATGATTTGGGCATTACGGTCAACGTTCAATCTTTCACGAAAGCATCCGCAGCCTACTGAAAGCCATAGCGATTTATTTCTTCTTCTTCTTATCCTAAATCCTGCAAGGACTCTATTCCCTTATCTAAACTAGTTTACCCTCGTCTACTTTGCAAGTTTAAAGATTAATTTTAGGACAATGAGTTTGAGATGATTGACTATTTTCGGTGCAGGCCCTACCTTGAAAAGTACTTTCATCACCCCTTCTGACGTTTAAAACTATCCCTCCAGCACTCTAACCAATCCAGGTGGACGAAGTCGTGACAAGACTTGCCCTTTTTTTCATCCAGCCCCAACACATTCCTTCCCTAAGATAAAAACGGTTTTCTGTGCATACGCTGCAAAGTTATCGAAGCAAATATAAATATCGTGTCAGCGCGAAACTGGTTGGTTGCTTTGAGATAGTTGCATTGGAGATCTTCGCAATATTTTTTTCAACGCGACCGCACATGTTTCATTTACTTGTCCATTACCACATTTGTTTCCTGTAACATCAAGTTTGCCAAGCTGATATTATAAAAAAAAAAACAACTGATCCACATCAATGTGACGTTGACACCACATGGCATACATGTCGTGTTCTTCTTTCTTTTTCAAATGTTTGTCTCCACCCCACCATCTTTTTACATTCAATCGCCCCGTAACTGCAAATATTAACCCTATTATCTACCAATTCTCTACATTCTCCACCTGTCCTCTTGGATACCAGATTTCAGATCAGTTTTAATTATTTTTTTTTATATTTTGCTACATTTGTATAGTATTAATTGCAGAACAAGACTTCTTGCAGATACTTTCTTTATTTTGATTCTTCCCTCTTTCGGATTTTTCCGTTTCTTCATTTACATGTTTCCAAAGAAACGTATGCAAGTCCAATTTCGTGTCGACGTGTCCCTTTCTTTCGCTAGACGTATTGAGACTGGTACCTTGAGCTTACCAATGAGATTCACCACAGCTCTCCAACGACTTCATGACTCCTAGATGAATCAGTTTTAGACTGGTGTCTTGAATTTACCCATTCACCACAACTCTCCCTCAACTTCATGACTCCTAGATGAATCTAATTGAGACTGAAGTCTCGACTTTACCCATGAGATTCACCATAACATTCCCAAGACTTCATGAATCCTGTATAAATCAGTTTGAGACTGGTGTCTTGACTTAACTGATAAGATTAGATACAACTCTCCCTCGACTTCATGATTTCTAGATTAATTAGTTTGCGACTGGTGTCTTGAATTTACCCATTATATTCACCACAACTCTGTGAAGACTTGATGAGTCCTAGATGAATTATTTTGAGACTGGTGTATTGACTTTACTGATTAGATTCACCACAACTCTCCCTCGATTTCTTGACTCTTTGATTAATCAGTTTGATGCTGGTGTCTTGACTTTACCCATGACTTTCACCACAACAGTACCTCGAATTCATGATTCCTAGATGAATAAGTTTGAGACTGCTGTCTATACTTTACCTATGAGATTCGACACAACTTTTTCTCGACTTCATGACTCCTAGAAGAATCAGTTTGAGATTGGTGTCTTGACTTTACCCATGAGATTCACCACAACCTACCGTCGACTTCATGACTACTAGATGAATCCGTTTGAGGCTCGTGTCTTGACTTTACCCATGAGCTTTACCACAACTCGCCCTTGACTTCATGACTCCTCGATGTATCAGTTTGAGACGCGTCTTGACATTACCCAAGAGATTCACCACAACTCTTCAACGACTTTATGACTCCTAGATGAATCAGTTTGAGACTGGTATCTTGACTTTACCCATGATATTCACCACAACTCTCACAAGACTTCACGACTCCTAGATGAATCAGTTTGAGACTGATGTCTTGACTTTACCCAAGAGATTCACCACAACTCTCCCTCTACTTGATGACCCCTAGTTGAATCAGTTTGAGACTAGTGTCTTGAATTTTCCCATGAGATTTACCACAACCTACCCAAGATTTAATGACTCCTAGATGAATCAGTTTAAGACTGGTGTTATGACTTTACCCTTTAGATTCACCACAACTCTCCCAAGACTTCATGAATCCTAGATGAATCAGTTTGAGACTGGTGTCTTGACTTTACCCATGAGATTCACCACAACCTACCGTCGACTTCATGACTACTAGATGAATCAGTTGGATACTGGTGTCTTGACTTTACCCATGAGATTCAACACAACTCTCCCTCGACTTCTTGACTCCTTGATGAATCAGTTCGAGACTTGTGCCTTGACTTTACCCATGAGATTCATCACAACTCTCCCTCGACTTCATGACTTACAGATAAATCAGTACACATATCAACAATATCTTATTCGCATTTACTAATTTCTTTTCTAAAGGTGAATTTCTTTTTTAAAAAAATATTTTTGCATTATCTGTTTACATGGACATCACGTTGGCCAGACAACCTCTATGGCTGCAACTACCTCGGACTTTTAAGTGACCCAAAGGCTGTGATGGGCGAAAAAAATAACTTCAAAATTCGCATGAAAATCGCCACAACATAAAGATTGACAGGTTGCCCCACAAAGTCACGTGGCGCATCTGTTAGTTGCAACCATCAACATTTAGAAGTTGATTGGATTATGAAGAATCTGTTTCCAATTTTTAGTATAAATAAATAATAATGATCGAGATATACTAAATTGGCACAATACTGCAGTAAATTCAACGCCCATGTGTATTCCAGGACTAGAAAATAAAACATAGATATTAGTGATTCATGGATAACAGGTTGTCAGACATTTCTGAGGCGTGATCCATGCAAATGAACCCAAGCCACACGCCTCTTCACCACTTTGTGTAGGAGCAACGACCATTGGAAATAAAACAAATTCTTTTGTAGGGTCAAAAACCTCATATCGGAAAATTAGTGTTAAGTATAATATAATTCAAATTTATTTTCACAATAGACACATTGAATAAGATGAAAGAAAATGTATCTCGTTAACAGCCTCAAAATGTACAGTGTAGATTACATCAATTATAGATGCAAATCTATTTTAATTCTCCGCATTAAATCTTTTTTTTTAAATTCAAAGCGAAATGCGTTAAAACTCTACACTTATAGATATGTTTAGAAGCAATTTTTATGATATTTTTCAAAATAAAGAGGCGTTGAAAATCTGCTCCCAAAGATATGTGTAAAAGTAAATAATATGATGTTTTTTTTCAAAATTTATGACGCTAGTTTAAAGATAAAGTTGTCAACAACATCTTTATTATATTTTAGTGAAGTGTTCCAGTTGGTGACGACATAAAGTCACCATCACTATTACATTTGTAGATACAACCGATTGGTTTGGAAACCCTGTCTAAGATGTGTATATTGGTATTGGTACCAATTGGTTTGGTTCCCAGATTTAGACTACATACAGTTACAGCCCATTGGTTGGAAAGCCAGTCTAAGATATAAAAATGCATTTCTATTACTATTAATTGATTTGGAACCCTTTGGTTTGGTGTCCCAGTCTTTGATTTGGACATTTCAGAACAGATCAAGAAGGATTTAGTTTCCTAAATTTGAGATTTTAAACATAAATTGATCTTTAAATATTGATCATTAAGTATAAAAATAAAGCAAATGTCATTTTAAAAAAAAAAAGAAATATTAAAAAACTAAAAACCCATTTAAAAAATTAGAGTCTGAAAAATATTTCAGGTCACACCCACTTCTCGCAAATTTCAACCAATCAGCTTCTAATTCTTGGCAAACGTCCAAGTAATGTTACAGCCTACTCAGTGTTTAATTCCTCCCAAAATGTGACCGGGCAAACACGACCATTCATCGGGTAATTGAAATCTGATCTAAAGACTACAGCCTACTTTACATAATGGGAATAGCTTGAACTGGCGATTGATGATAAGCCTGTTACTGGGAGGCACCACAGCTGTCACCAGAATTCATTGAAAGGTGATACTCTGTTGTTTGGCAAGGACTAGGGATGGAGGCGTGAGGAAAACGATTCTCATATTTGAATTGTTGATTTAACAATAAAAAAATAATAACGATTTTAAATTCAAGGTGTGAAGGTATAAAAGACCAAACGATGATACCTAGCCACCAGCGTCTGTCTGACTTTCAAGCATTACGGTTAAAAGTCTGTAAGTACTCCCTCGGTAGTGTAAGAAAAGTCTATACTCTTATCTTCATGCAAGAAAAATATTCTCGTTATTTTCTTCGACTAATTTTAATTTTTTTAATTTTTATATTTTTGTTTCTCAAATAGGTAAGTTCTATTCACCACTAGCCAAAAAACTGCAGACAACTAAAATTAAAAACTGAAGCTAAATCCTAAGCTCTCCCCCTGAGTCAATCACTTTCTCAATCTCCGTAACACCATCTGGATATTTTCAGAAAGACGTTAAAACGTTTTCCCCAAATTAAAAAAATAATAATAATTATAATACTTTTAATACTTTCTACTTTCTTGAGAACCTGAAAACAAAAATTGCAATGGAGTTTTACTCAATTGTCGAACTATTTTTTTCAAGGTAGTTTTTTTTTACAGAGACTATAGTTTGAGTATTAATATACACATTTCACTAATCATACATACCCTGGTTTTTTTTCAGCCATTTTAATTTTATGCTAGATTTTAAAATTCCATACTTACTGTTTAAGTAGTACTATTTTACTATAAATAAGACTGTTATTTTTAAAATAGAGCAAACCACCACTGTGTTATTCTTAGAAAGTCAACAAGGCCAATAATGCGAGTCATATACTTCCTTGTGGCGGCGCTACTTGTCACTCACGCAAATGGATTCTTTCTGGGTAAAAATTATTTTTAATAGTTAGGGTCATTGTTATATATTTACATAAATATATATATATATATGTATGTATATATATATATATATATCTATAAATAAATATATATATATATAATATACGCTTTTCTAATCACTTTTTTAAAAACATTATATGACCGTATGCCCTAAATACATTTATATTGCATTGATACATTTTTAAATGAATATATTATTTTTTTAAAGGTACATATATTATTATTTATAATCGACAGGAGAAGGCTAAATTATTAATTTTTCTTTCAAATGAATATGTTTGTTTACAACGCATTTAGTTTTTGTAGCATAGCCTGGGCTAGACAAGTCGTCCTTAATGGTGGGTGGTGCGGCCCGCTAGGAGACACTGGTAGAGCCAAATGAGGCGGTGGGAGGCTTCCAGTGATTTCAGTGGACGTTTAAGCATTTTTCAATTAAAGAGAAAAACCGTTTTTAATTATATTTAATATTTTTGACATTATTTAAGTTTTAACCTAATACACCCAGCAAAAAAAAAAGTGATCTACGATCCAAACCGAATCTAATTTAAGCATATTTAAATGATGATCAGATAGAGTTTATAGGCCTACAAAAAAAGTTCGACTTTGTTTAAAATTTTAAAAAAAAAGATAACAACATGTTTTTTGTCTTTGTAGTCTGAACCAAGATTTATTAATTTTCGAATTCAAATTTTATTTACATGCTGAAGCAAGATATTAATAAATATTTTATTTACTAATTGCACTACTGCTTATCTACTCAGACACAGTCGGGAATGCGCTAGGCGGCGCCGTGAACCTTGCCGGCAATGTGCTCGGTGGCACTCTAAACACAGCCGGTAACTTGGTAAATGGTCTGGCCAATACTGCTGGGAACATAGTCAATGATGTGGCTAATACGGCCGGGGCATTGGTCAACACGGGCTTGCAGGTTGGGGCGAACGTTGTTGGAGCTGTGGTGGACACTGGTGTGAATGTCCTCTGCGCTGTGGCCGGCGAGTTGATCAACTGTAAAGATGGTAAGTATGAGGTTGTTGTGGTGGACGAATCGATACACTTTTCAAATGGTAAGTTATGGTTGGGTGGGGACAAGTTGATCCACTGTAAAGATGATGAGTATTTTGTTGGGGGACAAGTTGATACACGTTTAAGATAATAGTATGAGACTGGTAATATGACATATAGTTAAGATAGTAAGCATATTATATTGGTGAGTCAGTTCACTCCTAAAAAGGAACAATATACGGAAGGGGGCAATTCGATCACATAAAAGATGATAAGATTGTGTGGAGAGTGAGCGACTTTCCAAATAGTAATCCACTCGGAATCCCTGTGCTGATTTGTTGTTTAGATACTCTAGCGTATATTTATATATACTTCTGCTCAATTCTAGGTTTCATTATTGTATACATATTTTCAATTCTCATGCGTATTTATATCTACCTTTTTTCTTTCTAGGGTATATTTATGTGTGCTTCTAATCAAATTCTAGAGTATATTTATATATACTATTAATTTAAAGGTATATTTATATATGCGAATTTTCACTTCTAGGGTTGAGTAAAATATAATTCTTAGCAACTTTGAGGTTATATATTGTATATACTCTTGATCAATTCTATAGAGTCTATTTATATATAGTTATGCTCTTTTCAGTGGTATATTTCTTCTTCTATATATTAAAGAACCCAGGATCAATGTATTGATAATTCTGGCTCCTATTTATGTAGAGGGGTTTGCAATTTTGCTGTGACTGGCATTGAAGAGCATATTTCACTAGTTGCAACGTCCACTCAGCTAGGATATCAGGAACTGGTTTTTGGAAGGCCTGAGGCAATAGACGCAAATGTGTCAAGTGTTGTCGCTTCATCCTCCTCCTCATCCCCATGCCCCTTAATCCTTGGACCATTGGGGCGCCACAGATAACATGTGAACCACCCTCATCCATTCCTCTCTGTCTTTAGCACTAAGCACTGCATCGCCCAGTGTTAGTCCTGTCCACTCTTTGATGTTATCCTCCCATCTTTTTCTTTGTCTTTCTCTTCTTCTCCCTCCTCTTGTGGTGCCCTGCAATATTCAATATTTCTTTGGCAAGCCCTTGTTTCCTTGTTACGTGGCCGTACCATTGTAGTTTGCGTTTTTTCACAGTCACCAGTAGGTCATCGTACTTCCCAATTGGCTGACGAACACTTTCTTTCACTGTATCATTGGAAATATGGTCCCTATAGCAGATGCCAAAAATGTTTCTGAAGCATCTCATCTCCATCGCTTTATTTTCCTTTCAAGCTCGGCTGTTAATGTCCAGGATTCGCAGGCATACAGGAAAATGGAGAGGAATAATGAGCGCATCAGCCTGATTTTGGTGCTGGGGGCTATATTTTTGTCATTCCATATTTTCTTGAACTTTGTTAGTGCTGTTGAAGTCTGCTTAATCTTGGACATCAGTTCGGGCTTGGAGCCTTCTTCTGAGACTATTGCTCCTAGGTATTTGAAGCGGCCGACAGTCTCTAATCTTTCCTCCCCGACCTTAATTTCAGTGTTGATGCCTGCGGTATTATTTTTCATCAGTTTTGTCTTTTCGGCCCTGCTTAGCTAGCCGCAGGACGACGAGGTCTTATCGAGACGCTTTACCAGGTCGGCTAGCTCTTCTTCGTTCCCAGCCAGCACATCTATGTCGTCCGCAAAGCGTAGGTTGGTGATTGTTCTGCCACCAATGCTGACTGTCCCTTCATGCGCTTCCAGAGCATCTGACATATTTCTCTCTAAGAAGATGTTGAACAGGATGAGGGAGAGCATGCAGCCTTGTCGTACTCCAACCGTGGTCTTGAACCATTCTCCGATGTTGTTGTTGAGGAAGACTGCACTGGTGGCCTTATCATAGAGGTTGCATATCATGCTGGTCAGGTTTGTGTTGATGTTGTAGTGCCTCATGGTGGCCCATAAAGCAGAATGCCAAACCCTGTCAAATGCTTTCTTGAAGTAAACAAAGACGTGGTGTAGAGTTTGTTGGTGTTGAGCATATTTCTCACATAGTATTCGGAGGTTTAGAATCTGCTTAGTAGAACCCCGTCCTTGTCTGAAACCTACTTGTTCTTCAGCGATGATTCTGTCGGCCTATAGCTTTAGTCGGTTCAATATGATCTTCAGCATGACCTTGCTTGGATGGCTTATTAAGCTAATTGTGCGATAGTTTTGGCATAGCTGTAGGTTACCTTTTTTGGGGAGGGTGATGATGAGTGATTGGGTCCAACTGTTCCTTAAATATGCTTCTTAATAAATTAGGTTACTAGAAAAACCAATAGAATGTAGATTTGCAGAGGGCGATACATTATTTTTTTCGATCCCTGCACACACACAAAATAAAATATTATAATACATCAAATGTATTCAAAAACTAATTTATATTTTTGTATCTCTCTATTTCAGCGCCTGGTGGTGGCATCGGTGAGTAAACCACTTTCAGAAGCTTTTTTATCAGACTACTCAGTCAATTTTTGGTGGACTCTTAAATCTCAGTTTTGATCCAGTTTCTGGTGTCCCAATAAGCTGACACTTTATATTTACCTACACCCGACCCCGATAAAACACTTATGATTTATCCAGTGATCTCCAGTGACCAGTGGAGGTCACCAGTGATCTCCACTGAAACCCCCTGCGGACATCTCAGGAAGGCAAATAGATAGAGGCATTAGGCTTTTTTTTAAACTACAGCCTGTCCTCATGCTTCATCACTTGTTCCCGATACCTGTCAACAGGACAACAAAGTTTTTATCCAAGAAAGGTCACTACTGCCCTTTGACCTTTTAGGAGTTGGCACTACATGAGCTCCCCGAAATTTTTCAGTAGTATCCTTTAACCGACTTCCTAAACTCCTACTACATTTTCAAAGACTAAAAACTAAACAATACGGTTTTCCAAAAAAAACGTACTAAAAAGAATTGAAAAAAATCTCCAACTTAACGTAAGAGATGTAACAGTCCCATGACTATAAAAGCTTGGGGTGACCATACAATGCAGTGCTGTCGTATGACTTGACCAATGCCATGTTTGACACACGTACAGTTTATGTTGTACGCTCCCATCGCTAATCTTGAGCTTGACGCCTGTAATGTAACTAACGACATCCTCCGCTGCGTGAATTTGGCGACTTACCAACAACATTGAGCTCAATGTCTCCCCCCACCCCTTCCAAAATGTGTAGTCGCATGACTGTAAGAATTATGATTTTGTTTGTTTGTTTGGAGTTTTGGTGGGGGGGGGAAGGGGGCATTTATGCCTTTAGTAAATTTTTAGCAAAATAACGTTTTTCTTATAAGAAAAGATTTTTAAAAATATTTTACTTAACCTTTATTTTAAAGTTTATAATTAAAAATTTAAAATAAAATAAAAGTTGTATATTTAAATAGTGTACTAATCTTATCGGAATATAACACCTTTACACTTGACACGTTTACACATGACCTCTGTACACAATACATATTTACACAAAACACATTTATTCGTGTACTTTCATGCATTGATTTCGAAAGTTAAAGAAATTAAGATGTGTCCAGCCCATATAAACAGACACCAAATTATATCCTAGATAACAATTGAATATAGGCCTAAGGATCAGAACCACACAGCAATACATCATAAAAACCAGCATTTCATTGCTACCAATACATCAATTACACATTAATATAACATAATAACCAAATGTAATATAGACTCCAATGCCATCGTTGGCTTTTGTAGATGGTACATGGGCCACGAAAATGGGTGATTTCAAAATCATGAGAGTAAAAATATTTCTGTTTTTAAACACACAAACATGTTAGTGACGTAAAAATCTATATAGATTCTTCTTGAAATATAAGATGTATGTCCTTTGGTGAGTTTTGAACATACATTTAAGGGGTCAGGCAAGGAGATAGGTACATGTCTTCTGTTGATAACAACATTTAGAAATATGGCGATTTGACATATAAGATAATAGTCAATTATACGATTGTTAGAAAGAATGTAATTTGTTGGGTGTTAAATATTTTCTAACGATAAAAAAGGATGATCTATTTATAGTTTAGAGGCGTTGATAAATGTTGGAGCGCGTTATATTGCAGAAATCACACATTTATGGAAATAAAATGATGTTAGCAGATTACACATTTAGATATATATTATCCTTAAAAAACAAGTGCCTGTCTATTTCGAAAGTACATCCTAATACATTTCAAGTGTTAGGAAATGGGTCGTTATTTTTTTTCACAGGACTGAATTCATTGTCACGTAACAAGGCTACATTATGATAGCATTTACCCATTTACATTTACTTTGTTTATATTACATATAAAAATTGATAAACATTTTTTTTTAAACACACATATCATCTACAAATAAGTAACATATATAAGCCTCAACATCCAGGATGATTCCTGCTAGGTCGTAAGCCTAATCAAAGGTATGATGGTACATCTTAGACAGCTTTACAAAGTTTTACGACACAAAGACGCCTTGAAAGACATATATTTTTCTACGTTTATCAAAGTCGCATCTTCTTGTATAGGCCCATGTCATATGCTTTTTAAAACACAGCACCACTACCGATACAGTGCAGAGCCGTGGCCGACATCGTATTCGTCATCGACGCCTCTGGAAGTATCGGTGCCACCAACTTCAAGAAACAGCTCTCATTTGCCACAAACCTGGCCGCTTCCTTCAAGACTGGCCCCAACGACGTCAAGATCGGACTCGTCGCTTTCAGCAACGACGCCCAGAAATGGTTGGACTTGAAGGACACCACCGGTGACAACCTTGCCCTGTACCGGGTAACGTTCGTTTGATATCATTGCACATGTATCAGGTTGCGTTTGATCTCTTTACATAAGTACAGGTAACGTTCAGGTAACGTTTGATAGCTTTACATGTTTAACAGGTAACGTTTGATAGCTTTACATATTGAACAGGTAACGTTTGATAGCTTTACATGTTTAACAGGTAACGTTTGATAGGCTTACATATTGAACAGGTAACGTTTGATAGCTTTACATGTTTAACAGGTAACGTTTGATAGCTTTACATATTGAACAGGAAACGTTTGATATCTTTACACTTTACATATTGAACAGGTAACGTTTGATAGCTTTACATGTTTAACAGGTAACGTTTGACAGCTTTACATGTTGAACAGGTAACGTTTGATATCTTTACATATTGAACAGGTAACGTTTGATAGCTTTACATATTGACCAGGTAACGTTTGGTAGCTTTACATACTGAACAGGTAACGTTTGATAGCTTTACATATTGAACAGGTAACGTTTGATATCTTTACAAGCTTAACAGGTAACGTTTGATAGCTTTACATAAGTACCAATTAACGTCTGGTTTTCAATAATCCTAGAAAAAAAAAAAAAGGAAACTCAAATTTATATTTTAAATAGTTTTTTTTTCTCCATTATTTAACTCTCCTAAGCTATTTTCCAGGGGGTGAGGTTTACTAATTACATATAAATGGGATTATTTCCCTTTTGTTCCTTTTACTACGGATGTTGCTTGTCATCTAGCTTTTATTACTATCCGATTGGCTCTTATAACTTAACGTAGTCTCCCATTGTCTATCAAAGCTTATTTTAGTATCAATTATCCAACAGGCTATCCTCAAGACTCCTTACTCCGCTGGCGGCACGGCGACAGATAAGGCCCTTAACCTCGTCAGCAACAGTTACATGTTTGAAAGCTTCGCGGGGGGGAGGGACTACGCCCCTGATATAGTCGTTGTTTTAACAGATGGACAGTCCAACAACCCACAAGCAAGTAAATATCTTTGTTGTCAATATTTTTTTTTTTAAAACACGCCCACTTTCAACATAGAAATATACCAATCATGTTAGAGGCATTACGCACACTTTAAAAATAACGCTACTGTGCTTTCCACGTATGATTTTAATTCTATTAGATCAGTGGTTTTTAGCCTTCCTAATGAGGCGACCCTTTATAACAGTTCCTCATATTGTGGCGACCCCGAACATAATTTTTGTATCGTTGCTTTTCATTAATTGTAAAGTGTATGTTTTCAGGTGGTTTTTGGCGACCCCTGGAAAAGGGACCTTAGACTCCCAAAAGGCTCGCGACTTAAATGCTGAGAAGCACTGTATTAGATAGAATAAAATAAATACATAGCTAAATTCATATTAATATTGAGAGTTAAATTTAAGTGGTATCATAGCGGAAAAAATTCTCGGCAGTATTACAAATATTTATTTAAACTAAAATATGTTTAAGTATATGTTTAAATGAATGGCATACATCAAAATTACATTAGAAAAAAAAAAGGAAATCTGGGAAGTATTTTTATAGAACCTTTTATTTGAAAATTCTGCTAATTAAGATTTAGCTTGATTAAAACTAATACACAAATAACGCTAACTATTTATTGGCATCCATTTTAAATGTAGTGTTTAGATGAAATTATAAGACAAAAAAATATGCTGTAGATTTAATCAAATCTTTCTTTAATGCATTATGATCTCTTCTTGATCTCCATCCTGATCTGTCGTTGACACATGCCTTCAAGTGTCCTTGACAAATGCCTTCCTCTGTCCATGACATGCGCCTTCATCTGTCCTCGGCATATGCCCTCGTCTGTCGTTTACATATATCTTCAAGTGCCCTTGACATATGCCTTCATCTGTCCCAAGCTGCCACCGCTGCCTCAAGACTCAGGAATGCTGGTGCGACCATATTCTCCGTTGGTATTGGCTGGAACGTTAACGAGAAGGAACTTCTGAACGTGGCCAGTCGCCCAGAGAACGTCTTCAGATCGAACGACTTCGACGTGCTTGGAAACATTCTGTACCAGCTGCTTCAAAGAGTTTGCCTTGGTCAGTACACAAGCACCTATCGTCTCAAATTTAACAAAAAAATATTGCTTTAAATATGTCAAACAGAATGTAATTGTTTTTTTTTTATAGTGAATATGTCTTAAATGCTAATAAATTCACATAGACGTAAATAGGGAAAGTTTTCTAAAATAATGTTTCGCTAAAGTGCATTAGTTTTTTAAAACAATTTTTTAATGAGGAAATTTTGATATTTTCATACCATTTAAAAAATAATTTTAAAAAATTATGGTTGAAATTCTTTTACAGCATCTGGAGGTTCCGAGATATCTGTCGTCGGTGAGTAAATCAGTCATATTACTAATGTGTTGCACTCGACACCGACAAATCATTTTAGTTTATAATATACTAAACATTTTACAGTCAAATCTTATAGCTTGGCATTTTAAATCTCTATTTTACAAGATATTATTCCCCACATTTCTAATTCTAGATTTTAATCCTTATGAAATGTGTCTAAGAGTAGGTTAAGTCATTAAGAGCAATGTTTCAACCAATGTTGCATGAGATCATGGCTGGGAAATTGGAACAAATCTATGTCGTGGGTTCTTTTGCTCGCCTTTGATGCGGACGCAGATTTGCACGTCACTTTGAAAACAATTTAACAATAAAGCAATGCCATTGTTTGCCATTATTTCCATTGTTTGTCATTGTTTGTCATTGTTTCCATTGTTTGCCATTATTTCCATTATTTCCATTGTTTGCCATTGTTTGTCATTGTTTGCCATTGTTTGCCATTATTTCCATTGTTTCCATTGTTTGCCATTGTTTGCCATAATTTCCATTGTTTCCATTGTTTGCCATTATTTCCATTGTTTCCATTGTTTGCCATTATTTCCATTGTTTGCCATTGTTTGCCATTGTTTATCATTGTTTCCATTGTTTCCATTGTTTGCAATTATTTCCATTGTTTGCCATTGTTTGCCATTGTTTGCCATTGTTTGTCATTGTTTGCCATTGTTTGTCATTGTTTGTCATTGTTTGCCATTGTTTGTCATTGTTTGCAATTGTTTGCCATTGTTTGCCATTGTTTGCCATTGTTTGCCATTGTTTCCATTGTTTCCATTGTTTGCCATTGTTTGCCATTGTTTGCCATTGTTTGCTATTGTTTGCCATTGTTTATAATTGTTTGCCATTGTTTGCTATTGTTTGCAATACAAATAAATTTCCCTGAGGCCATTGAAACTCTCTCCTACCGTTAATATCGAGTCTAAAAATGGCAAGGGGGGAGGGTTTTTTAAAAAAAAAGAATATTCTCTGAACGGTGTAGAGGGAAGGGGGTAGGGTGGCGTGGGTTGAGTTTAATTTCTGTTTTATATTTTAAGGCAGCGTAAGTTAATTCTGTATTGATGACAATGTCAGTTGATGATATTATCAAGACAATGTCAGTGGATGATATTATCAAGACAATTTCAGTGGATGATATTATCAAGACAATGTCAGTGGATGATATTATCAAGACAATGTCAGTGGATGATATTATCATGACAATGTCAGTGGATGATATTATCCAGACAATGTCAGTGGATGATATTATCAATACAATGTCAGTGGATGATATTATCAAGACAATGTCAGTGGATGATATTATCAAGACAGTGTCAGACGATGATATTATCAAAACAATGTCAGAGGATGATATTATCAAGACAATGTCAGTGGATGATATTATCAAGACAATGTCAGTGGATGATATTATCAAGACAATGTCAGTGGATGATATTATCAAGACAATGTCATTAAAGAGTGTTATACTTGCAACGAAACTTAATGATGTGTTCTGTTTCTTTTCATTTCACAGTTGAAGCACGTAAGTAAAAAAAATTACAATTAAAATAAAAATTCATTGAAAAAATAATTTCATTTTTAAAAAGAATGAATCATGGATCCATATATTATTTCCATTTAATTTATAGTTTATACCTTTTGAATTGAGCTATATCTTGAATCAAAGTATTTCTGTTGAAATTTTAATCGAAATTATAGTTTGGATTCACTATTAACTGTTGCTATTAAAAATGGTTTTGATGGTCATAAAATAGTTTTTAATTTTAAATGCAATTTCGTGAAAACAACTGATAAATGTTTACATTCTTTCCTTTCAGCTTTGCCTGGTGAGTTGTCGTTATGCCTTACGTGTAATCATTGGGTTTTCTCCCGCACTTAGTCTACTCAAAGGTTTAAGGAACGACATGTCTTCAATTTGAAACATTTGTCAAATTTAGAAAATATTTTAAAATATTTAATGTGTTAAAAATAAAATTTCCTCCATTTTTTTTAACTATGAGCTTGAACATCTTGTTGTAAGTGTTTACTCTATTTTACAGCTATTGATATTAACTACACATAGGCATACACTTGAGTTCATTTTTTGATATCTAAATATCTACGTATTTAAATGCTAACTACACATATTAAACATAGAAATGTAAATAATCTAGCATTAGAAATAACCCAGTTGTTAAAAGCAATGATTATTCTTTTGTCTCTCTCCACAGAGAAGCAACCGGGTAAGGAAATACATATTTTTCAACAATAGACTTTAAAAAAAAAATCCATTTCTTTATATTTTTTCAGGGAAACGTATTTCGATAAATTAAATTAATTTTTTTTTTTTAAAATAAATTATTTTAAAATTGGTTCAAAATCGTTAAGTCTGTATAGACGCAAAGTTAAGTAGTAGAGCTTAGTAAGATTAGTTTATTTTATAAGGTCATTACCCTAAATACATTAGGTCATAAACTTGTTTATATTTTATTCGGCACACTCATAATTGAAACAAAATTACATGCTTACTTTTTTAAGTTTGTTATTTTAAAAGAAAAAGTGATTTTAGGTTACTTTTCTTGATAAACTAACTTGTTTACCGTACAAAGGCTGGTAAAAAAAAAGTCATTTTACTGTTGTCAAACAATCACTGACATTTCTTTTCCTTGATTCCAGCATGCACTGCTGTCGTTGACCTCATTTACGTCTTGGATTCCTCCGGAAGTATCGGACCAAACAACTACAAGAAACAGATCAATTTTACGATAGACCTAGCGTCAAACTTTAAAATTGGGCCAAGCAATGTCCTTGTCGGAGCGGTCATTTTCAGCCATCTTGCCCAGAAATATTTTGACCTGAAGGACAACCCATCACTAGCAGAACTACGCAGGGTAAAAAATATTGAACATTAACTTTAAACTTAATTTAAATATAAAAAGGATTGACGGATTTACAAGTGTAATAAAAGAGACTCTATTTTAAAAAGAATAAATCTCAAACAAATTCAATGGCGTTATCTGTTATAACATTAGACGTAGAAAAAGTCTGTCATATACGCGTGTAGTGAAGTTGTTTGCACAAAGGGCATTATCAGAATTAAAACATAGCGTGTCGTGGCTATGATTCATGATGTAGTCGAGTTGCGATTCGTCAAATGGGCGTCGACTTGTTAATACCACTTTCGGTTTTGGCGGGCACTCTGCGATTAAGTTTTCTACTTCTTCAGCAGCCAGGTTACCGTATCGGAAGCTAGGATCCCTAAGTGAGTCGAGTCTATGTAGGTAGCTACGTGTTGGACAGTACACGGTTCGCATCTTCTTGATGAGTTTTTAAGCATCTCGGATTTTGCCTTACGGATTTCGAGCCGTCTCGCTTACTGGCCTAGCTGTTGGCACTTTTCATGGCGATCACATTTGCTTTGAGTTCTTTACTGAGTTCTATATACAAATAACTCCTGTGACTCCAGTTCACCTCGTATTTTATGAACGTATGCCAGGAGCAAGGCGCAGCTTCTGCTTTCTGCCTTGATGCCAACCATATATAGTGGTAGGACCACCGGGGTTCCGGTACGATGTTCTCTTAACTCATATCTATCACAGCCATACAAATGTTCACCTCATGCTGACCTGCCATTCGGTACCGACGCAAGAGAGTAGCCCCCCCCCCCCCCCNCACAGCCATACAAATGTTCACCTCATGCTGACCTGCCCTTCGGTACCGACGCAAGAGAGTAGCCCCCCCCCCCCCACACAAAAGTAACCCACCCACCTCACAAAATCAGTTGCCGCAATGTAAGGGATTCACCAGCAATCTTCACGGTATTAATGACGAAGTTTTAGCATGTGCATTTCTTAGGCCCCATGTCCACGGAGGAATTCGATCGTGGCGGGCACGCCGGTTCATGATATTCGGTTGAAAGCTTAAGTTGCGGTCACAGCCTATTAGTCTGTGACACCGCGTAGAGGAGCCGTCCTTTGCTAGAGATGCGGTGGACATAAATCCGTACATTTATTAATATCACAAGTAATGACAGTTGTGTTATGGCAGGTTCTTAGCGCTACTCCATACATGAACTACACAACAAAGACTGACCAGGCCCTGGACCTCGTCGCCAGTGCTGGAATGTTTAATGCGAATGCTGGTGGCCGCAGTAACTCTAAAAAAATCGTCATCGTCATCACCGACGGCCTGTCTGACAACCCAACTCTGAGTAAGTTATGAAACGGTTGTTGAAAATCGATTTGTCAAACCATTAAACCAAATAATTAACTTAGAAAAGTCTTGCACATTCGAAGATTTTTTTTCTACGCATGTTTTTCCATGACAATTTAATATACAGACTTTCTCTTTATAAGCATGATTTTTTTCTTTTTACATTATTAATTGACATGATAGTTATGAAACAATTTTAAAAAAATAGATTTAAATGTCTTGCATGGTCTGTATGTAAAATACTGAAAGACATCAAAGACATATTTAGAAATGAGCTTTTCCTTATATAATATGAAGCTTGTAAAACGAAACGCCAACTGAATGGCTAAATCTGCATTTGAAGAACGTATGCAAGTAATGAAGAAATATCGCTAGCTTTAAAGCTATCGTTGACATGCATCACTCACGACAGCGCTAGCATCATTTTTACTTTGCGTTTTTAAAGACGGTGTTCTTAACTAGATAAATCCTTGTCTCTTGACCGTTTTAGATCTTCCTAAAGCGTGTACAGTGATTTTAAGTACATCAATCCTTGTGTGTTGACCGGCTTAGATCTTCGTTAACTTGTGCACAGTGATCTTTCCTGACCTATTGGCAAAACTATTTTGATTTTTTAAAGAATGTGTGATTGTTAATTATTGAGATGGTATTTTTGTTTTCTTCCCCAGCAAAGGAAGCTGCAACACGTCTTAAGTCACAGGGTGTTACAATACTCGCTGTGGGTATCGGGGCCGCTCAAGACGCTGAGCTTCAGAACATCGCAAGCGGTTCTCAAAATGTTTTCAAGGCTACTAATTTCGATGCCCTGAAACAGATTGTTGCATCAGTGACCCAGCGTGCCTGCCCAGGTCAGAGAGCAGCTATAGAATAATTTATTGTATCGTCTTAAGGGACCTCTTAAATATGTGGGTTTAATAATTTACACTGTATTATAAACATAATGGCTACTTTATAGTCAAAATCAAAATTTGTATTTACACAACTTGTTTATAATCAAAATTAGTGTTATGTTTTATGTAATTAATGCATGTTAATTTTTAAGTTCATGCGTATGTTTGTTAATTGGTCTGTACAGCGTGGTGAGCCCCCCATAGGCTGGGGCATCACACTATGTAAAACAAACATTATTACTAATAATAATAATAATTAATACGGCTGGTTCATAGTCAAAATCAACACTTGTATTTTTACAAATAGTTTATAGTAAAAAACAAAACTTGAATTATATCAAATACATCTTAATTAAATGTATTCTACTTTTTCTGAATTTTTTCCAGGCACCTCCGGCTAAACCCTCACGTACTCAGGTAACATCAAACAGAGTGGAAGTTATTGGAAACTTAATCTTTCTACCGAAATCTACATTTAATTTTCCGAGACTACCTCCTGTAATTCAATGCAAAACATTTTAAACTGTCTTTAAAGAGCTTCTTAAATATATAATAATAAATACATGTTTTGCCTAATATAGCTACTTGTTTGTGTTTTTTAATGACAATATTTTTCTGTCATTTTTATGGAAGGAATGAAAATTTTATTTTTTAAAAACATTTATTAGTTATCTAGTTCATTTATTTTTAAAATTTAAATCAAAGACGATTATGAACAATAATTTTTCAAGTGATTTGCTCCGATAAAGCTTTAAGTAGATTCATAAGACACCAAAAAGGTGTGTGTAAATAACGCAGCATATGCTTAGAGTTTATTACAGTTAAAACCCTTACACAGTAAAACATTTCGCCATATGCCTTCATCAGTAAATCAAAATACATTCACTTACATTGACGTAATTCGTGTATATTCTAAACATACCTAAGTATTAAGGCAAATGACAAGTATGGCAAACGTCCCTAACAGAAATAAAGATCAGAAGAACGAAAAGAAAGTGGTTGAAAGTTTAATACAAAACAAAACAGAAAATAACACCATGCAGCTATCTAAATATTGTGAATTTTGTTTATATTATATGGGATAAGCGTAGTACATTTTATACATTTTATTTTTCATACAGGTTCGATCAGGTGTAATTCTTGCATAATGTATGAAAGGAACTGCAATGTGTGAAATTCCATTATGGTTAGGACTATTGAAATGTTTAGAAACGGGGGAACGGCTTGGTTATTAATGTTGTACGAGCTACATATAACGTTCCGCACAGTTTACGAGCGATGGTGTCAATTACGCTTACACAAGTAAAACCATATTTGTATCTTAATATGTCTGGAGGAAACGTGATTTATCAACATAATCTCCCAGTGATGTGTTTTACAGCGGCTACGGTTGAACCTTTTGGTGGCTGCTAACAAGAATGCCCCCCCCCCCCCAGAAACAAAAAAAAGAGGAGAATTTTGAAAACTGTGACTATGATGACAGGGTCTGCCATATGGATTGATCAGTTAATTAGCGCTAGACAACGAGCTATAAGGCTGTGGAAATTAGAGGATATAGCTTGTCTGGAGGAAACGTGATTTATCAACATAATCTCCCAGTGATGTGTTTTACAGCGGCTACGGTTGAACCTTTTGGTGGCTGCTAACAAGAATGCCCCCCCCCCCAGAAACAAAAAAAAGAGGAGAATTTTGAAAACTGTGACTATGATGACAGGGTCTGCCATATGGATTGATCAGTTAATTAGCGCTAGACAACGAGCTATAAGGCTGTGGTAATTAGAGGATATAGCGAATACAGGCCAATCAATACTGTCTGAACGATTCACTTTAAAATAACGTTGTCTGGTCATACCCTTAAGTGAAAGCGTCTTCTAAAATTATCTTAGGAAAAAATCTACCTCTTAAAAAATAAAATGTTCGAGGCTCAATTTTTTTTTTGCCCAAAGGTTGGGGTTAGTGAGAAGGTCTTCCAAAGGAAAAACATATCCATGGCATTCATTGTAACACTGCTATGTTGTCCAACTCTAGATCTAATGCAAGTGTTAGATAACAGTATTAGATGCACAGAAGCATCGGTAGTGATTTAAAATCAAGGGCTTTCGGAAATACTGTGGTCGTTAACCTTGCAAGAAAAAAATATCAAAATAGGGATGCTGAAATAAATGAAGACATTTTTGCTGAAATATGTGCACTGCTACAGAATGGTGAAACAAGTCCAAAAGTACCTTTATGCCTTTATAATATGTGGGACCTGATTAAAAAAATGCCATCGGGTGTTTCGTCTTAGATTGTTTCTTTTGAGCTAGAGTTCAAAATTTAAAATGATAGCGCAGTCTATGCAAAAACTTTCGTTTAGAATATTCGAAAAAATTTCTTATTTTAATAGGATTTTAGCCATATTATGTGTGTATAAAGAACTTTTTCTAAATACAGACTGGAATAAAGTTCTAAAGGTCGAACAAAAAAAAAAAGTATTTGTTACAGTTTATTAACTAAGTGTGTGCCAAATATTTGAAAATACAATAAGCACAGAAATGGAGTATGTATTAAAAAAGAACTTACATTAGTGTTATCATAATTACATGCATGAAAGACAAGCTTGGAAAATGTGTCAAGAACGGATAAAAAACATATATCTATAACTGTCTCGGAATACGTGACAATAACAGCAATGGAACATGCATTAAGACAGACATGCAACATGCACGCAAGACAGAATAGTTAAAAATGTAAAATGATAGTGCAGTCTATGCAAAAGCTTTTGTTTAGAATATTCGAAATTGAACACATTGAAATGAAAGTCCAAGTTAATTTCACAAATAATTTTCTACACACGTGTCTTCTAGTCCTGTATCCTTGAAACTGAAAATAAAAATTAACGACTGATTTTAAAATCTGGTAACATTACAAGAAGTGTTTCTACTCAAGTCTATATAGCTTCACAAATATAGATTTAAAAATATATTTTTTTTAAAAATTCACTCAATACTAAAATAATTGATCTTTTCGAAGAAGTCAATAATTATAAACGTACAATAACAAGTACCTCGGTTCATTCCCTTGACCCTTTCCAATAATCATTCGCTGCACCCCATCCAATGTTTATTAGCTTCACCCCATCCAATGCTCATTCGCTGCACAACATCCAATGCTCATTCGCCCCACCCGTTCAACATTTTAATTCGCCACGCCCCTTCAAAAGCTTTATTTGACACATCCATCCATGTTCACTGGACACACCCTTTCCCAATATCCCAATTTCAAAACCAATACGGACGTCCTGAAATGCAAGTTGATCGCACAAATGTAAAAAGTATCGCCTCTCATCTGATCATTCGCATTTGAAAAGTTCAAGCAGTGATATGTCCATTTACATCGCCAGTGCACTAAATCCCAGTGCTGTGTCAACTCACACCATTAGTGCACAAGTACAGCACACAAGTAACAAGATGCTAGTTTGGGATATGTGACTGCTTGAATAATGACGCTAAACAACAAAATTGAAGATACAGAAGAAAGCCTTCCACCTCCGACAAGACAAAAATAAAGTTCACTTAAAAACAAACCAAAAAAAACCACCTTGTCAGATAGTATCGTTTTTAGCTTTCATTGACACGCAATAAATGCAGTCTCTATGAAGTATCTTTTAAACACCATGCGAGCAGCATTGCCACTCATCACGGCTTGAATAACGTGTCAGTGTTAAAACCATCCCGGACATCGTAAAAATCAACCATGAAAACACAACCGATATTACTGATAACTGCAAACATTTGAGCCGGTATATGCGTCTGTCAAAAGAGCGGACGTTGAACAAGTTAAGCCTTCAGCAGCGTTTCTTAATGACTAATCTCTCGGCTACTCACCTTGACAAACGCGGGAAGTGATCACTTTTACCAGCTGATTAAGTTGACCCAATGACCTGACCTTGACAACGTTTTGTTCCCTGCTGGCTATGTCCACTAACTCTGGCTCTACATCCGACCCTATGCCGGCTACAATCATGAAAACTCCCTCATTGGCCAGATATTTAGCAGCTTCCTTGGCTGCGTAGAAAAACATTGGACCGTTGCAATAATATTCATGACATTTTTTTTTAAAAATCTAAGCCATGAAACAAGACAAATAAATGGATGATTCTTACCAAGGAATTTTTTTTCAAACACTTACATTAATTTCCCTTTTCTTCACGTGTTTCTAGCTCACAAAATATTCGGCCGGCTAATGTACCTACTTGCGGTCAGCCTACAAAGCTGAAAATCGGCACATACACTCGTTGTCGACCACAACACATTCTATCAAATTGTCAGCCCCACCACCAACCCACCAAAAATGAAAAAAAAATCAGCTTTTCCTTTTTTTTTTTAAGGGGAAGATGAGGGAAATACAAACCTTGTTCTATTATTTTCCTGTCTTTCGATTCAAGCTCCCACATACCTTGTTCTATTATTTTCCTGTCTTTCCATTCAAGCTCCCACATACCTTGTTCTATTATTGTCCTGTCTTTCGATTCAAGCTTCCACATACCTTGTTCTATTATTGTCCTGTCTTTCGATTCAAGCTTCCACATACCTTGTTCTTTTGTTGTCCTGTCTTTCCATTCAAGCTTCCACATGCCTTGTTCTATTATTGTCCTGTCTTTCCATTCAAGCTTCCACCAACCTTGTTCTTTTATTGTCCTGTCTTTCGATTCAAGCTTCCACCAACTTTGTTCTATTATTGTCCTGTCTTTCGATTCAAGCTTCCACATACCTTGTTCTTTTATTGTCCTGTCTTTCCATTCAAGCTTCCACATACCTTGTTCTATTATTGTCCTGTCTTTCCATTCAAGCTTCCACCAACCTTGTTCTTTTATTGTCCTGTCTTTCGATTCAAGCTTCCACCAACTTTGTTCTTTTATTGTCCTGTCTTTCGATTCAAGCTCCCACATACCTTGTTCTATTATTGTCCTGTCTTTCGATTCAAGCTCCCACATACCTTGTTCTATTATTGTCCTGTCTTTCGATTCAAGCTTCCACCAACTTTGTTCTTTTATTGTCCTGTCTTTCGATTCAAGCTTCCACATACCTTGTTCTATCATTGTCCTGTCTTTCGATTCAAGCTTCCACATACCTTGTTCTTTTATTGTCCTGTCTTTCGATTCAAGCTTCCACATACCTTGTTCTTTTATTGTCCTGTCTTTCCATTCAAGCTTCCACATACCTTGTTCTATTATTGTCCTGTCTTTCGATTCAAGCTTCCACATACCTTGTTCTATTATTGTCCTGTCTTTCGATTCAAGCTTCCACATACCTTGTTCTTTTATTGTCCTGTCTTTCCATTCAAGCTTCCACATACCTTGTTCTATTATTGTCCTGTCTTTCGATTCAAGCTTCCACCAACTTTGTTCTTTTATTGTCCTGTCTTTCGATTCAAGCGTCCACATACCTTGTTCTTTTATTGTCCTGTCTTTCGATTCAAGCGTCCACATACCTTGTTCTTTTATTGTCCTGTCTTTCGATTCAAGCTTCCACATACCTTTTCTTTTATTGTCCTGTCTTTCCATTCAAGCTTCCACCAACCTTGTTCTATTATTGTCCT